TCCTTCTTCCCTCCCTCCCTCCCCCCTCTCCTCGCCTCTGCCCCGCCCCGGCCACCGCGGCGAGACGGCGGGAAGGGCCTGCAGCTGGCACTGCAGGCGAGCAGTCCCAGGGAGCGAGCTGCAGGTGGCAGCACTCGCCATTCCACGGACGGTTCAGGGGAGCTTGGCGGCCAGGCGGCTGGAGTGGCCGCCCAGGGTGGCAGCGGGCCGTCGCTGGCCATGTTGCCCGTCCATTTGGGTCAGCGACGTGGGGTCCAGAGCGGTACCCGCCCCACCCGCGTGCGTCCAGATCGTGCCGCTGCGCTCTGTCGTGCTGCTCGTCGCTCTTCTGGCTCTCCCCCTCTTACATGCGGGGCACTTCGCAACGCCGTAGCCCGGGTTGTTTGACGCGCGAGCGGATCGCCTCTGCCGCGCCGCGACGGAAAAGTGCTGCTCGTCGCTGTGCTGCAGATGAAAGCCGCAGCAGTGGAAGTGGTGCTGGTGCTGGTGATGGTGGTTGGTGGAGAGGAACGAGTGCGATCGCCCTGAGACCCTGGACTACTTCGCGACACGCGACGGTAACGGTATTGGTGGTCAATGGTGGCCTATCTGGTCCTGGACGTACAGGTGGCTGCGGCAGTGGTGTCGAACGCATCACCTGCAGGCCGCAGGCCGTAGCCAGAATGCCGCCGAAGCTCGCGTTGCTGCGAATGGTGCTGTTGATCCTCCTGGGACCGGAGGAAGTTTTCTTTCTGGGTGCGTTGGTCATGCCGAGTGGTCATACCCAGTCTGGTGCTGAAGAAACGAATCTGGCTACTGGACCCGCTAGAGCTTCATCAGGTGACAACTTATGTCGCCATCGCCCTGCAGGCAACTTGAAATGGTGGTGCTGCTGGGTTCGCTGGTGGTACTGCATGTGGTACAGCCAATTCCTGTCGTGCTGGTGCGGTTTGATGGGTTGAGGCTGTTCCAACTGGTGCTAGGCTGTCGGTTACCATCGCTGTGGACAACTACGGCAGGGTTCGCTAGTGTTGTTGTGAGGAGCGCTGGCGAGTCCTGTCATGCTGGAGGCAATGGTGCTGTCGGGTGGGCTCGTGCTACTAGGGTGGGGTGGCTGGGGTGGCCTGGGTGGCCATGAGGCAAGAGGCTGGGGGGCATCCACCACCTCCTCTTCCAATGTACGCAGCTCCCCCTTTCCGACTGCGCACGACGCGTGGGCGGATAGAGAAGCAGTTTGCGCAATGGCTGGGGATGGGTGTCAGATGTGGCGCGAGCGCACCTGGCCATTTGCAACCCCCGTCCTGTGTCATTTCTGGTGTCTCTCTGGCCTTGTTGTCGAAATGGCGTCGCGACCTCGACGCGGTGCCATGCTGTGCCGTGCTATGCCATGTATCGCGTGCTCTCTCTCTCTCTCTCTCTCAGGATCAGTGCCCTGCTCGACACCCGCCGGTGCGAACAGAGAGGCGATCTGCGCAACGGCAAGGGGTGGGAGGGAGGGGTGGGACGTCGGACAGGACGCCTGCGCACCCAGCTTGCCCTCTCTGCGCCGCCAGCCCCCCCCCCACCCGGGCGTGCCGCGAGGACCTGCCCTGCGGCGACTTCCTGCTGGTGGGCCTCGTCTTCGCGCCCACGCTCCTGAAGGCTCCCGGGGAGCGGAGGAGGAGGAGGAGGAGGAGGAGGAGGAGGAGGAGGAGGAGGAGGAGGAGGAGGGGAGGAGGAGGATGAGGAGGAGGAGGAGGAAGAGAAAGGAGGAGGAGGACGAGGAGAGGAGGAGGAGGAGGAGGAGGAGGAGGAGGGAGGAGGAGGAGGAGGACGAGGAGGAGAGGAGGAGGAGGAGGAGGAGGAGGAGGAGGAGGAGGAGTTGGAGTTGGAGTCCCTGGACGTAGTCCTTCCACTCATCACCTACACCTCTTCAGGGCTTTACGAGCTAATTCCGCTTTACTGTAGACTTTGGGCCATTGCCCCAACTTAATCAAACGAAGGTATTCACTCCTCGTCGCGGTGGGGCGGGGGACACAAGCCTTCCCGAGGCCGCAAAGCTGCTGGTCCCCATACATCCCACAACTCGCACAACACCACAGCTTTAAATCGGCGTGAAACCTCATACAATGGGAGGGGTCCACAAACCCCCCAGCAATGTGAATGGTGGCCCCCTCAGGAAGTGCACGAAGGGAGCAATCAAGGGCAACTAACCTGAAACACGGAGACTTACGCCAGACCGAGACGCGCGCAGCCGACGCGGACCCACGGCACCGCAGACAGCGCCTACCACACTCCGACAGGGCATGGCTCGTCTCAAAGGCCGACAGAATATTCTGACTCGGAGGCGGGGGAGGGGGCGGAGGGTCGGCAGCAGCAGCAGCAGCAGGCTCACCGATCTCCACGGCTTCCCTCCGTCCCCGAGCTCCTCGCCTCTGGTGCCGACCGTTCAGCGGGGTCTCCTGCAGCGTCTTCTCGGCCTCCATGGCGTCGAGGTGCGACCTGAGAATCCTCATGCGGATAAGGTACAACACCCGCTCCTTTTCCAGAATGTCTGTGCGGACAGCTTCAGGTATACGAGCGATGGTCGCACCTTCACCTGCCAAAGTGTCCGCTGCTGCATTGCCAACCGTCATCCAAGAAGAGCCAGCTCGATGCACGACATCCTCGGCCTCCAGGTGCGAGTTCGTGAATAATACTGTCACATGCTCAGGTCGCCGTCCCGTGTTATGAAACAGCAAACCTATCTTCGCCCACAACTCAGCGTGCTCTCCAGTTGGGTGGCGATATTTCTGAGACCACCAACCTTCGTGCACCATCTGGTTGTCTGTCACATACGTTACATATTGTTCCGTAAGCCGCAAGGCTACCCAGAAGATATACAGCTCACCTCTGGGCACCGTCTGGACAACACCTGGGAGAGCTCCAAAGAGGGATACTTGCAGCTGGAGGTCCGTTTCACTTTCCATCTGTGCGAGACCGAGACCGATACGTCTGAACCTCCCATCTGATGAATCCGCCCCGCCACTAGCGTCGCCAAAAAGCAGCACTGGCCTGGCACACTCGCCTGGACCTAGGACTCCATCAGCAACACCATCGTTGAGCCCCGTCTGGAACCAAACCTCCTCATCAGGCGGCTCGGGTACCGCGGTCCACTGTGCTGGCATGGCTCCGCGGAGCCAGTACGCTGGGGCAGACTCATGTTGAGAGGCCGCTTGCATATACACCTCGTCCGACTTGGTATAGATAGGGTGATTGACGTTGTGCTCGCATTCCCATATTCGATGAACAGATGACTCATTGCGTCTTTTGCAACGAGGACACAGCGCACAAACTTGGACCTTGGTGGAGGCCTCAGCTCGACGGAGCCTCGGCCACGACCCTCCAGCAACTACCGTCGATAACAACTCTGAGAGCCTGCGCCCGCGGGGAAGCTGCTCCAGGTGCTTCAGAAGCCGCTGCAGAGATACAACGTCCATGCCTTGCCCAAGACCTTCCCCACAAAAATGCCTCTCAGCGGAAGCCCAAACGAGCCTCTCCGACGATCTGTTAGAATCCGGGAAAAAAGCTTGGTGTCGTTTAAAGCCGAGATGTCCGAATACCCAGCTTCTGGAAACCTCCACTCCGTTCCGTCTGCCATGATCCAGCACACTGGTGATACTGGGTCCCATCCCCGTTCAAGAAGAGTCAAAATCGCCGTGGACATCGGTCCCCTCGCCCACCTAGAGCGCTGATGGGGGGGCAAGCTTTTGAAATGACCGACCACCCGCGCCCACGCCTTGTGCACTCGTCCTCGAATCTCTGGACGGGCGAACCACTGCTGGAGCCAAAGGTGCAAGGATTGCTGAGGGTACCTGATTCCAGGATCCAGCCCAGGCGCTTTAATGGCAAGCGTGGACACCAGACACCGACCACGGCCCCCAGACGAAACAGCGGCAGCCAAACTCCTACGAAAGGATACAAGACGTTGGCCGAAGGTGCCGTGGAGCTCCTGCCCGTAGTTGCCTGCTGCCTGTGCTCCGAGCCGTTCAAGCCTGGACGTGATAGTATACTGACGTGAAGCGCGCGCATACCGAACGACACGAGCATGCATACGTCCGTGCTTGGCCACTCTCTTAGTACGCGTGGCCCGAGCCGTCCTTCTGCCTCCTCCCTGGTCAATCCCGAGATAAGCTCCCTGAAGTTGCGGCCGAACAGTGAACCCTTGAACTTTCAAACGTTTGGCGATCTCCTTGGCATCTCCGTGGAAGGAACAAATCACGATCGACTTCGGCGAGACATCCAAGTGCCACTTAGCCAGCTCATTAAACGTGGCCCCCAGACACGCAGTGGCCCCCTTGACGACCGACTGCCTGGACCCCGACATCCTCTGCGATAAGTCGTCGATCCATATGCGATGGCCGAGAGCAGGATGGGTACGAGAGATACGAGCCATAACATAATGAGTCATGCACTTCGCGAATCTTGTGCCCGACCTGAGCCCCTGGATAATACTACGATCGACGAGGAATGGTTCACATGCTGCTCCGAATTGCTCCAACGTGCGCGCCGCGAAACACTGGGCCAATTCCATATATAATACAACTGGAGGAAATCCCATGCGAAGAGCCGCGAACACCAAGAGATCCCATTCGATACCGTCGTAGAACCCTTTAATATCTAACATGCCGTGCCCCGTCGGGAGCTTCATCCACCCCGCAATTTCGTCAGCTAACGTGCAGTGAAAGGCTTCCACCAAAGAGCTACTACCCTGTATGGCTGCATCCCACTCCGTCTCCACAAGACTGCACCAATCTCTGACTTGCTGTTCGCGGATACCCGACCAGACACGACCTATCATCGATATGAGCCCTATAACACGATCTCCTTCCACCTTCTTCGGTAACGATTTGCCGATTACCAGTTGCGTCTGGTGAGGCCACGTGAGTGTAGCTTCGCATACGTTCATCAGCTCCGCCAGCTCCTCAAGGCCAGCCTGCGGAAGCCGCTCCACATCGAGCGGAGAGAGACGATCTGCCCCTAGTCCTGTCTTGGCACGCATGCGATGAGCCATACTACGCACTTGATCCGCGGTGATGGGCTCCATGGGCTCGTCACGCGCCGCCTCCTTGATGGCAGCAAAGGCTTCGGCAAGTCGTTCCTCTTGAGAAGCGCCAGCAAACCCAATGCGTTCTAACCCTGCCGACGCAGCACATGGAGTATCCGACAAAACCTTGGCAACGTGAGAGACGCATGGGCTCGAGGAGCACCCAGCGCTCGGCTCTGACGCCCCACCAAAACATGGCTTGGCCTGAGGAGTCTCCGACAAAACGTTGGCGACTTGCGAGACGTATGGGCTCGAGGAGCACCCAGCGCTCGGCTCTGACGCCTCAGCAAAACATGGCGTGGCCTGAGAGACACCCGACAAAACGTTGGCGACTTGAGAGACGGTTGGGTTCGAGGAGCGCCCACCGCTCAGCTCTGACGCCTCGGCAAAGCATGGCGCTGAGCCACCGCGTCGACCCCTCGGCTCTGACGCTTCGGCAGAACACCTCCACGTATAACCTCCGCGTCGACCTGCAGATGTCCAGAGCTCCTTCCATCGCTTGCCCTTACGGTCTAAGATATCCTTGGGGTGCACCAAAACAGTACTGCCATGCCAAACCTCCTCAACTGGTAGCGGTTCGTCTCGCATACTCCTGTGCAGCGTTCCCAGGGCCTCCTGAGAAGTAATCCAAGACCGAAATTCACACAAAGACTCTCGCACCGCCCGTCGCAGAGCGCGTTTAGAGAGCTTGTCCGCCTGTTGTTGAAAACTAGCAATCACCACATCACGCGTGTCAGCTAAGTTCAGGAGCAAACCCGTCCAGACATGAATCCCAACATCCTTTTGGCTCAACAGAATCTTGTCAACTCCATCGGGCTTCTCGGTAGCAAGGTGCCTGGCTGCTTGCTGCAACTGAACCAACTGAGAACGACCATTATCTCGCCCACGATGCCGCTCGAACTGCGAGAGGATAGATGCAACACGTTTCCACCAGCATGCAACTTGATCTCTCAAAGGAGCAGCTCTAGATCGCGAGCTCTGCTTGACTGACTCTTCCACAAAAGAACATCCAGTGCCCCGTCGGGGGCCCCCAGATGGCACGACCTGATGATGAGCATAAATGACATCCTCGACAGTGTTGACCCATTGAGAAAACCATGAGCTCACGAAATGAACATGGCCAGGATTGAGCCGAAAGGCTACGGAGTTGAGAAAGTGAGCAGGGGCAGGAGGGGCAACGTCCCCTTGATGCAGGGGCCTGTGCTGCTCCCACACATCTTCAGGGATGAGGAAGCTAGTCTCGACCTTCTCTTGTGGCACTTCCGAGGGTTCTGGCTCCACCTGGCTCACCGATCCACTGCTTGTGGCTGGGGGGGGGGGGGGGGGGGGGGGGGTTCCTGTGGCTGGTGGGGTCATCATTCACCTGACTACCTGACACGCCAGGGCTACAGACCCCCGAAAGCTGAAGGCCAGAAGGGCGTATGGAAAGAGCCAATCCTATGTGCGGGCGCCAGGGCACGTCCATGACGGCCTCCAGCTTGATGAGGTACGGCAGGGAGGCCTCGGAGACTACCGCGTAGTCGATCAGGCTGCCCTGCGCACTCGAGTCGCACGTGACCTGTACGCCAGGTGTCACAACTCGTCCCTGAACGTGTCGTAGAAAACCATTCTGAGAAAGAACACTCGGCTCCATGTTCCAATCACCCAAGCATATCCACGGCAGCTGCAAGGCTGATAACAACCCTCCAATCTTGTGCAATCTTGACATATTTTTGCCAGCGAGGCCAATAGATGAGAAACAGTAGACAATCAGCAGCACCATCGAGAAGCCCCGAAAGTGCAGCACCGACGCGGTGAACCCGTCCAGCGCGTCGCTGCCGTCTGCCTTGAGCGCGCCCGTCATCCTGGCCTCCGCGATCGGCTCGACATGAAGGTGGCCCCGTGCGAGTACCCACTCCCCTCCTTCATTGGCACGATCCTCCTGCGCCTGGCTGCCCCGTCCTGATGGTCGGGCAGCGTTCGCAAGCAACCTGAGTTTTTTCTGTCGAGCTTTGTTCTCCCCCATGCACGCATCTGACTCGCCCCCACGTGAGTCTCCGCACACCCCAAGATATCGAACTTGGCTGGCAGATCTAGATAATGAGTCCACGCACGGTCACCCATGGCCGCGACGTTCGCAAAGAAGATGTTGGAGACGGGCCCATTCTCGCACGAGCTCGAATCTAGTGACAAAACTGGCGCCTGCACCTCCGCCCCTGGGCGAAGCTGATCGCGGGGCGGGGCCGCAGGCGCTGACCGTCAGGCCGCGGCAGCGCCATCCTGGCCCTTGCCCTTGGCCTTGGCCTGGGCCGCCGCCTCAGCGGCCGCGAACTTGGCCGCCGAGATCTTGGCCGCCTCAGCGCGCACGGCCTCCTTCTCGGCGGTGGCCGCCGCGGGGTCGACTGCAGACGGGGCCTCCGCCGCCGCTGGCGGCGCTGGGCCACCTGCACGGCTGCCCGCGCCACCGTCGCCGCCTGCCGTCGCGCCAGCGCCGCTTGCCTCGGCAGCCTCAGACACGCCGTCGCCCTCGTCGTCGCCCTCCTCAGAGTTGTCGACCCTCCTCCTCTTGGCCGCCAACCTCTTGGCGATCTCGGCCTTTGACTTCGCAGCCTTCGCAAGCCAAGACTGCACCTCAGCGTTCTTCGCCTGGAAGCCCTCCTGCATTTGCAACAAGGTTGCGTGAATCTGCTTGAGCTCCTGCCTCTCCGTCTCCTCACACTCCAGATTGTCAAAATCATCGAACAGGCTGGAATCCCACGAGACGGTGAAAGCTTCTGGTGCCTTGGCCTCTGGAGCAGTTTGCGGCCGCTGCTCTCCACCAAGGCCCTCAGCACGTGCGAGCACCTCAGCTGCCCGCGTCTTGGCAACTGCGGCCGCTGCCAGAGCCTCCGCAGCCGCCTCCTCCTTACTCTCTGCCGTGGCCAAGGACGTGCGAAGACGACACACGTTGGCCACGCACTGGTCATGCTTGTGGTTGCAATCCCTCCAGTGGCCCTCCGCCCTCTTGTAGCTGTCGGCGGCAGAGGGGGGCGGCTCAGATACCGTAGGGCCCTTCTTCAGCAGCTCAATCAGATTCTTCAACACCGTCTTGAGCTCCTGGTCATTGGTGCTCTTCATTGCCTCCATAAGGTGGTCGATCGTGGAGCTGGCCTTGGACCACGGGCCCTTCTGAGAGCTGCACTGGTCGGACTCCTGCTCCTCGAAGTCCCACACCTCCGCCTCGTCGGCAAACGAGACCTTCCCTGGTGATTGCGATCTGGACCTGAGGCCCCCCTTCTTCTTCTTGGGGGTGAACAGGGTAACCTCTCGCTTACACTTGGTGCATATGCCCTGCCCTCGGGTGATCACATCATTCCATTCACACTTCCCGCACTGGCATCGGCTCCAGAGCCGCGCATTACGATCAACGAAAGCCATGGCAGGGAAAGAGCTTGGACTGACACTCTTGCTTTTGTCACAGATGACTGGCCTCCGCAAAGGGCTCTGCTCTGTGTGCCTCAAGCGCTCCGAGCAAGCACAAGAGTCGGCCCAAACAAGATGCTTGGGCCTAGGTGGCTTGAGAGGAGGAGGAGGAGGAGGAGGAGGAGGAGGAGGAGGAGGAGGAGGAGGAGGAGAGGAGGAGGGAGGAGGAGGAGGAGGAGGAGGAGGAGAGGAGGGAGGAGGAGGAGGAGGAGGAGGAGGAGGAGGAGGAGGAGGAGGAGGAGGTCGTCCAGGCCTCCGGGGGTCCAGGCATATGGGGCCGTTTTTCGTCCGGTTCCGGCGCGGTGCGGTTTGCACGAAGGGGGGTGGGGGAGGGGGGTGCGAGGCCCGAGAGGGAGCCTGGACTTCACGCAAGTCGGGACTCGCTTGCACGCCATTCGGGCCCAGGGCCCAGAGCTCTCGGAAGAGGCGGCCGGGGGTGGCGTGTGAGCAGTGCCGTGTAGGTGACCCTGCCCGAGTCTACAGAACCTGCGATCCGACGGCGCGAGCAAGAATTGAGACATCGTTAAACATCACGACTGGAGCCCTAGACCCCATCTTTTTGCGCCATTCGTCGAGCCGGATCGATGTGTGAGGGTCCCAGGGCCCGAAACCTTGAGAAAATTGAGACGCCAGGATCTCAAGGGAGAAGCATCTAGGCCTCTTAGATGGGGTCGGGGTAGATGGGGTCGGAGGATCGCACCGCATCGCCGATGCATCGGCGATGCGGCTCGGTGTGGAGCCCGATTTTTTCCGCGCCGATGGCGCCGATGCAGCGCCGACGTCGCAGGTGCATCGCCGATGCATCGGCGATGCGGCGCGACCCTCCGACCCTATCTATTCCGATCCCATCTGGGAGTCCTCTCATGCAGCCTCTTTGAGGGGAGGCCCCTGGCGGCGGCGCCGCTCCGGGCGCGGTGGCAGGGGCCATCGCGACCCGCAAGCCAAGGGGGCCTGGCCGGGCCGTGGCTCCGCCGCTCCCAGGCTCGGGCGCGCGGGGCCGACTCCAGGGAAGAGGCGTCTCCATCGAACAGGTTGGGGCGCGGGATGCCTGGGGAGCGGCCTGGGCCGCAGAGCCGCCCCTCTCCGCGGAGGGGAGGCCGCCCAGGGGCGCGAGGAAGGTGGCCGCGCTCCGCGCGGTGTGCAGCGAGGAGCGCGGAGCCAGGTGGCTCGGAGTCCCGACGGAAGCAGGTCGCAGCCGTGTCTGCGTCGGAGTCTCTTGGGCGGGCTGCCCCTGAGGCACTGGTGGCTAGTGTGTCCGTCCGACGCAGCCATCCCAGCTCCTCCTCCTCCTCCTCCTCCTCCTCCTCCTCCTCGCCTCCTCCTCCTCCTCGCCTCCTCCTCCTCCTCCTCCTCCTCCTCCTCCTCCTGCTCATTCTCCTCCTCTTCCTCCTCCTCCTCCTCGCCTCCTCTCCTCCACCTCCTCCTCCTCCTCCTCCTCCTCCTCCTCCTCCTCCTCCTCCTCCTCCTCCTCCTCCTCCTCCTCCTCCTCCTCTCCTCGCCTCCTCCTCCTCCTCCTCTCCTCCTTCTCCTCCTCCTCCTCCTCCTCTCCTCCTCCTCCCCTCCTCCTCCTCCTCCTCCTCCTCCTCCTCCTCCTCCTCCTCCTCCTCCCCCGCCTCCGCTCCTGAACTCCAGTTGGGTTTCCCGGCTCGGTTTTCTCCAGAGAGTTCGGAGGTGGCCCGAGGCGGCCCTGGCCCAAGGTGTCCCCCGATTTTCTTCGCGTCGTTTTCCGCCCCAGGGAGGCCTTATGGTCCTCGTGAGGGTGCTCTGGTGCTCTGAGCCTCGTGAGGGTGCTCTGGAGGCTACCTGGGTCTCCCTGGAGAAGCTGGGGCCACACTTCGAATGTCAGATATCTTCGTACACATAAGAAAATGTTGGAGTTCCGTGCGGAACTCTTGGATCGGCGCTGGGCCCCTCCGGCGCCGCCTCCGACGCCGCCCCTGGCGCGCTCCGCGCGTCAGGGAGCGCCGACCTCTTGTCTTATCGTAATAACCTTGGAGCTCAGCTTGGGTCACCGATCGCGTTCCTCTACTTGCAAAGTGCCTTCTCGCAAACGTTCCCCAAACACATGCTTGCTTCGCTGCAATGGAACCCGCTTCCTTCGATGCAATGGATCCATGCCGTTGCGAGCAGCTACTTCGTGAGTCGTGGAACGCGCTTGTCTGTTGGGGCTGGGTCACCTCTTGCAGCGTCCGCAAGGTGATCCCCCCGAAGCACCACGAGCCCGACGTGGGGGGCCGCTTCAACGCCCTGCCGATCGACTCGCGGCGGTTCCTCCTGGCAGACGAGGCCTCCCGCCGCCCTCGTCCTCGTCCTCGTCGTCGTCGTCGTCGTCGTCGTCGTCGTCGTCGTCGTCGTCGCCGCCGCCGCCGCCGCCGCCGCCGCCGCCGCCGCCGCGCCGCCGCCGCCGCCGCCGCCGCCGCCGCCGCCGCCGCCGCCGCCGCCTGGCGGACGAGGCCTCGCACCAGATCTGGCTGGTGAACTGCGCCGCGAAGACGCGCGCGCACGTGGCCGGCTGCGGCAAGCGGGGCTACCTCGACGGGCCGCTGGGGACGTGCCGCATGCACTCGCCGTGCTCCCTGGCCCTGGACCCCCACACGCATCACATCTACGTCGCGGACAAGGGGAACCACGCCATCCGCAGGCACCCTTTCGCCCTCCTCGTCCTCCTCCTCGTCCTCCTCCTCCCTTGCCTCCAGGTCCTGGCTGCCCCCCCCTCCTGCTCCCCCTCCTGCTCCAGCTCATGCTCCAGCTCAAGCTCCAGCTCTTCCGTCGTCGTCGTCGTCGTCGTCGTCGTCCTCCTCCCTGCTCCTTTCGCGCGTTCGTTCGTTCCTCTTTCGCCTCTTCCTCCTCCTCCCCCATCCCCTCCTCTCCTGCTCCTGCTCCTGCTCCTGCTCCTGCTCCTTCTTCTGCTCCGCTGCCCGTCTCCTCCTTCTTTCTTTAATCCTTCTCCTCCTCCTCCATCTCCTTCCCCTCCTTCCCATCCTGCTCCTTCTCTCCTCCTCCTCCTCCTCCTCCTCCTCCTCCTCCTCATCCTCATCCTCATCCTCCTCCTTCCCCTGCTCCGCCTCCTCCTCGTCGTTTCTCCTGCCCCTCCCTCCTCCTCCTCCTCCTCCTCTTCCTCCTCCTCCTCCTCCTCCTCTTCCTTGGCGTTGTGCAGCTCGTTTCGCTTTTAGCATCTAGGTCGAAGCTGTGAAAAAGTGCTTGGACGAACCGTATACGCTTTTCTCAGGACACAGTTAGGGAGTGTCTGAAGAAGGTGCACCCTCGCATGCCTCGTCTTCAGGCATCGTTCCAGATGGCCTCCTGCTTTTTTCGTGTTCAGTGTGGCACCCACACCGCTGTTGTCTTCAAGGCCTGACTCGAGGAAGATTAGGGGCCGCCCACGAGCGGTAAGAGGTACCCTGCCAGAAAGAGGCTTCATGAGCGGCCTCCGCCCATCTAGCAACAAAAAACTGCATAACCAGAAACGTTCGGATGTCCGCCCCGATGTCTTGGATCTGCGATGGCAGCGCGCAGAGCGCGCCATGGGCGGCGCTGGAGGTGCCGCGAGGGGAGCCCAGCGCCGATCCAAGCAATCCGCGCGGAGCGCCGAACGTTGACGTTTATGCAGCTCTTGTTTCGGGGTGGACAGACCTCCCACCCTGACGCGCCGATTATTGAATTGGCCGTGTTCGGTTCTCGAGATGGCGCCGCGGCCGTCATTTTCCAGGCTTGCGCCCGCCAGGTTTGGGCCCGAGGTCGTTTTCACTAAGCCACGTTCTACTGAAGGGGGTTCTGTCTATCCCCGATTTCTTGTTCTTTCTGAACAGAGACTTCATGTGCGGCCTCCGTCCTGTTGACAGACAGGATACCTTTCTCAGGCATCGAGCTTTGCAAGGCCCTCGACCATCCAGGGGCCCTCACCTCCAGCGGCCGAGGGCTATCGGGCTCGCCGGCCAGCACAGATCACCTTCTTCCCCTGAGCGAGCAACACAACGACACCAACAACAACACCAAACACAACAGCAGCAACAGCAACACCAAGAACACCACCACCACCACCAACAACAACACCACCAACACCAATAACAATAACAGCAGTAACATCAGCAGCAACGGCAGCAGCTACAACAACACCAATACCACCACCACCACCACCACCACCACCACCACCACCACCACCACCACCACCACCACCACCACCACCACCACCACCACCACCAATACCACCACTGACAACACCAACAACACCACCACCAGCAACACCAGCAACAACGACACCAACAACGACACCACCAACAACACCACCAACATTACGACCAACACCACCAACAACAGCAGCATCAACAACAGCAACAGCCACATCAACAGCAGCATCAACAACAATATCAGCAGCACCAGCATCAGTAGCAGGATCAGCAACAACAGTAACAGCGACATCACCACTACCACCAACAACAACAACAGCAACAACTCCTCCTCCTGCTCTTCCTCCCCTGCCTTCTTTTCCTCCTCCTCCTCCTCCTCCTCCTCCTCCTCCTCCTCCTCCTCCTCCTCCTCCTCCTCCTCCTCCCCCTTGCGCGCGCCTATTCGCTCCCTGGTGCGCTGCCGACCTCCCCGTCCCAGAGGCTGGACCTGCAGAGCGGGCTGGCGTCCACCGTGGCGGGCAGCGGCTGCCGGGGCAGCCGCGATGGCTCCGACCGCCGCTGTCAGGCCCTCGACTCGCCCTTCGAGGCGGGCGGCTGGCAAACGGGGAGGAGGAGGAGTGGGAGGAGGAGGAGAAGGAGGCGGAGGAGGAGGAGGACGAGGAGGAGGAGGAGGAGGAGAAGGAGGCGGAGGAGGAGGTGGAGGAGGAGAGGAGGATGAGGAGGAGGAGGAGGAGGAGGGAGGAGGAGGAGGGAGGAGGGGGGAGGAGCAGGAGAAGGAGGAGGAGGAGGAGGAGGAGGACGAGGAGGAGGAGGTGGATCCGTCAGCCGCAAAACAGTATATCCAGAAACTTGCTTAGATACGCGCGGATCGGCGCTGGACACTTATGACCGCGACTCAGGCGCCACCTTTGGCGCGCTGAGCGCGCAAGGAGGGGCTTCCAGCGCCGATCCAAGACATCCGCGCGGATATTCGACTCTTGGTGTCAGTGCTATTTCTCTCCTTCTAGAGGAAAGAGACACCACAACCTCCCTGGAGGGGGAGATAGGAGGATACATATCAGGATTTATAGGAGGAGGTATGCAGGGGCTTCCTCCTTTGTCTTTTCGGTCAGACACCCGCGGGCCGCCGTAGAGGCCATCGGGAGCGCTCCGAGAGTTCCAGAGGAAAGCGTGCTCTCATTGCCGCGCAGGGCGAGCTGGAACGACGACCGTTCCGCCTCGTCCTGTCCTCCTGTAGGAGGGGGAGGCCGCGTGCTGCCACAGGAAGATGGTCGATGCCAGATGCCCGTGTGCTGAGACCCCTCACTGGGTTCCCCAGAACCGAGGCGACATGCCGAAGCACAGGGCCCTGACCCCATCGCACTCGAAGGCCCCGCCCTCGCCTCGGACACCGTGCGCGCCCCTCTCGTCGAGAGGCTCGCGCCGCTCGTCGACGCAGAGGCCTCCAGCGTGGAGGTAAAACCGTCGGGCCTTCGGTCTGACCGTTCCGGTGGCTCTGGGGGAGGCGTGGGGAGAAGAACAAGCGGCATGAGCGTAAAATTGCGGAGGTCCACGAGGATTTTGGGTCGTCGCTGGAAGCCCCCTGGCGGCGCATCCAGCACCGTCCCTGGCGCCCGCCCTTGGTGTGAAGTCGGGCCTGTCCCTATACAGGGGGAATATTCAAAAGTAGTCAAAAATTAGTCTGAGGACGGTTTTTGACAATCTGTGATCATTTTGGGGGTATTTTCAAAGTGCTTTTCATTTTTCCTTCGAAATTCGCCTGCAGGGGGACATGCCCGACCTAACCCTGGTGCGCTCCGCGCGCCAGGGAGGAGGGTCCAGCGCCGACCCATGACATCGGCGCGGGCCTCCGAGAGGTCATCTTCATGCAGCCTGTCACTCTTCCAGAGGGGGCACCGCAAACTCCCTGGAGGGGGACGAGGAGAAGGAGGAGGGTGAGCAGGACGAGAGAGGGAGGAGCCTCCTCCTCCTCCTTCTTCTCCTCCTCCTCCTCCTCCTCCTCTTCCTCCGCCTCCTTCCCTCCTCCTGCTCCTCCCCCCAAGAAATCCGCGCGGACCTCCGAGTCTAGCAGGAAGTTGCGAACTGCATACGCATGGCGCGGCCGTCCTGGGTGAGAAGCTGGATGCATTCGGTAGCAAATCCTGGGAGCCTTGTGTACCCTTGCAATTCAGTTTTTAGCGTGCGTTAGCGTCGACTAGCGTCTGGTATCCGACGAGATAGCACCGATTTTGCGTCCATGAGCGTCGAATGGGAGTCGATTAGCGTCGACTAGAGTCGATCAGCGTCGATTCGCAAGGGTCAACAAGATGGTGCGGGAGGCTCCCATGAGTTCCCTTCAGTGATTGGTCTGTCAGAATGTGTGTGTGTGTGTGTGTGCTCGTGCACTGACCTGTGAGAGTGGCCAACGCGTCGCTCGTCGCAGTGTGTGAGCGCAGAGCATCTTAGTGTGCAAGTTTTCTGGGCTGATACCGCCCCAACTGAACTGAGCTGAATGGAGATGCGCACGTGGCCAGGTGTCTGTTCAGCGCTCGGCCCACCTGTGTGGCCGTGCAGGCTGGGCTCTCACGTGCGTATCCGGCGCCTGGCCGCGCGGCCTCCGGAGGCTCCACGCGTGAACCCAGCGGGCCTCGCTTTCGAGGATCGAAAGCGAGGTCCTCGAAAGCGAGGCCTCGCTCTCGAGGATCGAAAGCTTTCACGTGTGGATTCACGTGAATCTACACGTGAATCCAGCGGGCCTCCGGACACTCCACACGTGACAATCCAGTTGTCTTTTCTTCATCTGCGGAAGGCGGCGAAAGTAAAACGGGGGCGGCTCCGCCGGCGGAAATCAGTGGAGGTAAGCAATGCGCCTCCAAGAGTTGGTAACACTTTTGGGTTCAGGGTTTCCGGAACCGCCCATGCGGGCTTCTAGCTTCCTGGTACCTTTGTGCAGCTGTTCGGGGACCGACCACAACGCCGTTCAGTTTGGTTTGGTCCTTTGTTTTGTTTTTCGTTTCGTTTGTCGCTCTTGTTTCGTTTCGTTTCGCTTTTGCTTTAAACGCCTCGTCCCGCTGTTCGTTTCGTTTGGCACCGGCTTCGTTCTGATCGTTCCTTTTGACCGTTGGGCTTCCTGTAGATTTTCGGTTTAAGGGCTATCTTCGTTTTGAACGTCGTTGTGGTTGGTCCCTGGCTGTTTCCTCCAGAGGTGTCGTTCGCGGCCCCGCACCACCTCGTCATCTCGTGCGCCGACAATTCCGTGCGCAGCCTTGACCTCAGGACGGGGCACCTGGCCACACCGCCGTCGTCGTCGTCGTCGTCGTCGTCGTCGCTATTGTTGTTGTATTCTCGTTTCTAGAGAACAATTGTTGTTGATCTCCAGAAACGGTTCCGCGCGCTCTCGCCTCGACGCCGGCTACGTTTCCTCTGAAAACGAGGCTCCCGCTCGAGCGTTGGCTTGAGCCTAAATGTGGGCCCTTGGAGGCCGAGCTACGACGACAACGGTTCCCGCTCGATACGTCCTCACAATGTACCCTGAGACGCCCTGGCCAGAGAGGCCCCCGAACTCAGCAACGGCGCTCTCGCTCGAAACTTCTTCGCAATTCAATCAAGTTAGCGAAGACCCAGCCACGACAAGGGCTCCTGCTCGATATTTCCTCACGATTTACTCCGAGAGCCCCTGGCCAAGAAGGCCCCCGAATTCAGGAACGGCGCTCTCGCTGGAGACTTTCTCGCAATTCAGGCAAATTGGTGGAGGCCCGGGCACGGCGACAAGGGTTTCCCGTTTCGATATTTCTCCATAGGTATTCCGAGAGCCCTTGGCCAGAGAGGCCCCCGAACTCAGGAACGGCGCTCTCGATCGAGACTTCCTCGCATGTCAGTCAGTGGCCGACAAGGAAGATGTCCCCCCCGAAAGAGGGTGTAATCGAAGACGAGGTGGGCAGGTATCTAAGGCTGGGGTATACGGAGTGCAAGACACGCGTGCCTGTAAGAGCGAGCAGACTTACAATTGTTGTTGTTGTTGTCGTCGTCGTCGTCGTCGTCGTCGTCGTCGTCGTCATCGTCGTCCTCAGGACGGGGCACCTGGCCACGCTGCTGATCGGAGCCTGAGGCGGCGCGGCGCGCGCGCGCGCGCCTCCGCTGCGGAGCCCGCGGCGCCGCCGAGTCCGCTGCCGACCGCCGAGGCCGCCGCCGAGGAGCGCTGCGCGGGGGTCGTCGTCGTCGTCGTTGTCGTCGTTGTCATCGTCGTCGTCGCCGCCGCCGTCGTCGTCGTCGTCGTCGTCGTCGTCGTCGTCGTCGTCGTCGTCGTCGTCGTCGTCGTTGTCGTCGTCGTCGTGGTCTGGACACCTCGTTCTGTTCTGGCCTGGGGGGCGCTGAAACAGTCGGGTCCTGAGGACTCGGGACTCGCTTCCTTCGTGCCAGCTTCCGGGCGCCTTCGTGGCCAAGCTGGGAGGGCGCATGCAGCGATCCCGGGCCCACGATGGGCCTGGCCAGGGTCGCTGCTGGTGCTCGGCTGGCGCCCTCCTGCTGGGGGCGCGGGGCGGGGGGGGGGGGGGAGGGCGGGGCTGGTCTGCGCGCCCTGGAGGGCCAGCCTGTGCCCGCGTGAGCCCCGCGGATGGCTCCGCCGCGCTGCGGGGGCGGGGCTGGACCCAGGTCGGCCACGCGCAGGGGTGGGTGGGTGGAGAGGGGGGAGGGCTTCTCAGAAGCACCCTTGCTTCTCAGAGGGCGCGGGCCTTGCCTGTAGACGTGAGGCCAGCGCCTTCTAAGAAGCAGCCTCCTTCTGAGAAGCGTCCCCCCCTCCCTGCCCCCTTGTGCGCGCCGCCAGCCAGGAGCCCGGCGAGAGAGCTGCGCGGAGCGAGCTCGGAGCCAGCCTGAGAGCTCTCCGTGTGCGTCTTAGAGCTGCGGCCGCGAGGTGCCGGTGATCACAAACGGCAGCGTCGGTCCATTCCTCCCTCTCCCCTCCTACCGCTGCCCCTCCTGGCCCGCATCCCCCTCCGCCTCCTCCTCCTCCTCCTCCCTCCTCCTCCTCCCTCCTCCTCCTCCTCCCTCCTCCTCCTCCTCCTCCTCCTCCTCCTCCTCCTCCTCCCCCTCCCCCTCCTCCTCCTCCTCCTCCTCCTCCTCCGCGCGCGCGGAATTCCCGCTCCTCCTCCTTCCTGCTGCTCCCCCTTCTTCGTCCCCCTCCGCCGCCTCAATTGTGAGCAGCCCGTCGGCCAGACTCGTCTTACCAGGAAGGGTCAGCGATACTTCCTAGGACCCTAGCCAGTGTGGCCCTGGCGGGAGGCAGCGCCGGGAGAGACGGGCGTGGCCCAACAAGCAGAAAGAGGAAACTAAGAACAACAACAACAACAATACAACACAACAACACCAACAACATGATGATGATGATGATGATGATTATGATGATGATGATGATGATGATGATGACGATGACGATGATGATGATGATGATGATGATGATGATGATGATGATGATCGTGACGATGACGATGATGATGATAATGATGACGATGCTGATGGTGATTATGATGGTGGTGATGGTGGTGATGCTGATGATGATGGTGACGATGAGGACGGCGATGATGATACTGATGATGCTGATGATGATTTTGCTGCTGCTGATCATGATACTAATGATGATGATGATGCTGATGATGATGGTGACGATGACGATGACGATGACGATGATGACGATGCTGCTGTTGCTGATGATGATGGTGACGATGTTGCTGATGATTGATGATGCTGATGCTGGTGTTGCTGATGCTGATGGTGATGGTGATGATGATGATGACGATGAGGATGCTGCTGATGATGAAGCTGATATTGACGGATGGTGATGATGATCACGATGCTGATGATGAAAATGACGATGAGGACGATGATGGTGATGATGCTGATGATGACGATGACGATTATTCTGCTGATGACGATGTTATTGCCGCTGTGATGGTGATGATAATGCTGCTGCTGCTGATGCTGATGATGATAATGATGATGATGTTAATGATGATGATGATGATGATGATGATGATGATGATGATGATGATGATGATGCGGCTGATGGTTATGATTATGATGATGGTGACGATGTTGTTGATGATGCTGGTGATGACGATGATGGTGATGACGATGATGGTGATGATGATGGTGATGATGACGATGATTGCGATGATGATGATGATGATGATGATGATGATGATGATGATGATGATGCTGATGATGCTGATGATGATGCTGCTGCTGGTGATGATGCTGATGCTGATGATTCTGATTATGATGATGCTGATGCTGATGCTGATGCTGATCATGCTGCTGATGATGATGATGATGCTGCTGTTGTTGTTGTTGTTGTTGTTGTTGTTGTTGTTGTTGTTGTTGTTGTTGTGGTTGTTCCTGTTTTTGTTGTTGGATTTTCATGTTGTTGTTGAATATGCATTGCTCAAGAATATCTATTGTTGATCTCCGGCAACGGTTCCGCGCGCTCTCGCCTCGAGGCCGGCTACAGTTTCTCTGAAAACGAGGCTCCCGCTCGAGCTTTGGCTTGAGCCTAAATGTGGGTCCTCGGAGGCCCAGCTACGACAACAACGGCTCCCGCCCGATACCCCCTCACAATTGACCCCAATACACCCTGGCCTCAGAAGCCCCCGAACTCAGGAACTGCGCTCTCGCTCGAGACTTCCTCGCAATCCAATTGAGTTGGCGGGGCCCAGCCACGACGACGAGGGCTCTTGCTCGATATTTCCTCACGATTTACTCCGAGAACTCCTGGTCAAGAAGGCCCCCGAATTCCTGAACGGCGCTCTCTCTCGAGACTCTCTCGTAATTCAGGCAAGTTGGTGGAGGCCCGGACACGGCGACAAGGGCTTCTGTTCGATATTTCTTCATATGTATTTCGAGAGACCCTGGCCAGAGAGGCCCCCGAATTCAGGAACGGCGCTCTCTCTCTCTCTCTCTCGAGAGACTTCTTCACACTTCAGTCAGTGGCCGACAAGGAGGAGATTCCCCCCGAAAGGGGGTGCAATCGAAGATGAAGTGGGCGGGTATCGACGGTTGGGGTATACGGAATGCAAGACACGCGTGCCAGTAAGAGCGAGCAGTCTTAAACTTATTATTATTGAACATTATTTATTCTAAAGAATAATTATTGTTGGGCCCCCTGGTGCGCGCCCCCCCTGCGCCGCCTAGGCCGCAGCTACATTTTCATCATTTTCGTGAGGAAGCCTCAGAAAAGAGGGTGTGTACAGGATCCGGTTGTTTTGTTGTAATCCGCTTTCCCTTGCAAAAAACAATAGAAAATGACATTTCTTGTTCTAATATAATCAAATTTCAAGAATCCCTTGCAACAAAATAAGGTAAAGTGGACATTCGCGCGCGCAAGACGAAATCCTTCCAAAACCTTAGTGTTCGCAGCGATTTTAACATAAAAACATCAAAAAACCAATGGTTTTTCAACAAAAAATTGTCAAAATCTCATCCCGCGCGCTCTTGCGGATTCGTAGGAAACCCAACACTTTTTAAACATTTCTGTCAAACGGGCTTTTGCGAGCAACTTTTTCGAACTTCTGCGACAACGGTTGCGCACCTGCCAGGGCCATCATCCCTGTCAAATAATACCATGCGGGACACATTCGTTTTTTCTTCGCGCGCGCACGCCGTCGTCGTCGGCCGCGGGGCCCTGAATAGTAGCCACGGTCGTCCGCATGCCACGAAGTGAAGTGTCCGAACGTCATAGGGCGGGAAGCTGGGTGTGGGTGGTGGCGAAGAGTCGTTTGGAAATTTGGTAGAGCTTGAACCGGCCCCCCCACAAAGTGGGGGTATTGCCCGCCTCCTATGAAAACCCTGGCACTGGTGAGAACGGAGTGTCCCCACGTGCTAGTAATTGTTGTTGTTGAACATTATTTACTTCTAAAGAATAATTATTGTTGGGACCCCTGGTGCACGACCCCCCTCCAAAACCTAGGCCGCAGCTACATTTTCATCATTTTTTCGCGAAAGCTTCAGAAAAGTGGATTATGCCAGATCCGGTTGTTTTGTTGTAATCCGTTTTCCCTTGCAAAAAACACTATAAAATGAAAATTCTTGTTCTTAGTTGATCAAATTTCAAGAATCCCTTGCAAAAAATAAGGTAAAGTGGACATTCGTGCGCGCAAGACGAAATCCTTCCAAAACCTTAGGTTTCGTAACGATTTTAACATAAAAACATCAAAAACCCAATGGTTTTTTAAAAAAAAAAATGTCAAAATGTCCTTCCGCGCGCGCTGTCCGAATCCCACAAAACCAATGGTTTTTCAACATTTATGTTACATGAGCTCGCGCGAGCTACTTTTTCTTGTTCTAACATAATCAAATTTCAATAATCCCTTGCAAAAAATAAGGTAAAGTGGACATTCGCGCGCGCAAGACGAAATCCTTCCAGAACCTTAGGTTTCGTAACGATTTCAACATAAAAACATCAAAAACCCAATGGTTTTTCAAAAAAAAATGTCCAAATTTCATCCCGCGCGCGCTGTCCGACTCCCACAAAACCAATGGTTTTTCAACATTTATGTTACATGAGCTCGCGCGAGCTACTTTTTCTTGTTCTAACATAATCAAATTTCAATACTCCCTTGCAAAAAAAAGTAAAGTGGACATTCGCGCGCGCAAGACCAACAAAAAACACGACGATCTCAGGAACTTGCCCCAAAAATGTGACCAACTCCGCTCTCTCTGTCTCTCTCTCTGTCTGCTCTCTGTCTCTCTCTCTGTCTGTCTGTGTCATGTATTGTATGTCACAATTGCAGGATGCTGGGCACACGCGCGCCCCGAATAAGTGACCAAGTTCTGTGGGTGTGTACCCCACGCCAGTGTAGTAGCCACGGTCGTCCGCACGCCACGAAGTGAAGTGTCCCAACGTCATAGGGCGGGAAGCTGGGTTTGGGTGGTCGCGAAGAGTCGTTTGGATATTTGGTAGAGCTTGAACTGCCCCCCCACGAAGTGGGGGTATTGTCTCGCGTCGCATGAAAACCCTGGCACTGGTGAGAACACTGAGCGTTCGGGTAAAATGATTGTTGTTGTTGTTGTTGTTGTTGTTGTTGCTGCTGCTGCTGCTGCTGCTGCTGCTGCTGCTGCTGTGCTGTTGTTGTTGTTGTTGAACATTATTCTTCTTAAGAATATATTATTGTTGAGACCCCTGGTGCGCGACCCCCCTCCAAAACCTAGGCCGCAGCCTCATTTCCTTCATTTTCTAGCGAAAGCTTCAGAAAAGTGGATTGTGTCCGGATCCGGTTGTTTTGTTGTAATCCGTTTTCCCTTGCAAAAAACACTATAAAATGAAAATTCTTGTTCTTACTTGATCAAATTGCAAGAATCCCTTGCAAAAAATAAGGTAAAGTGGACATTCGTGCGCGCAAGACGAAATCCTTCCAAAACCTTAGGTTTCGTAGCGATTTTAACATAAAAACATCAAAAACCCAATGGTTTTTTAAGAAAAAATTGTCAAAATGTCCTTCCGCGCGCGCTGTCCGAATCCCACAAAACCAATGGTTTTTCAACATTTATGTTACATGAGCTCGCGCGAGCTACTTTTTCTTGTTCTAACATAATCAAATTTCAATAATCCCTTGCAAAAAATAAGGTAAAGTGGACATTCGCGCGCGCAAGACGAAATCCTTCCAGAACCTTAGGTTTCGTAACGATTTCAACATAAAAACATCAAAAACCCAATGGTTTTTCAAAAAAAAATGTCCAAATTTCATCCCGCGCGCGCTGTCCGACTCCCACAAAACCAATGGTTTTTCAACATTTATGTTACATGAGCTCGCGCGAGCTACTTTTTCTTGTTCTAACATAATCAAATTTCAATACTCCCTTGCAAAAAAAAGTAAAGTGGACATTCGCGCGCGCAAGACCAACAAAAAACACGACGATCTC